AGAAGATGGACTATATGAAGAAGAACACGGCATCAGGATTAAAGGAAGGCTCATTAACAACTGCAGTATGCAGATGATACCATCAGGCTTGCAGAAAATAAAGAGGACTTGAAGCACTTACTGGTGAAGATCAAAGACTATATATAGCCTTTAGACTAGATTACACCTCAACATAAAGAAAACAAAAATTCTCACAGCTGGAGCAATAAGCAATATCATGGTAAATGTAGAAAAGATTGAAGTTGTCAAGAATCTCATTTTACTTGGATTCACAATCAACATCCATGGAAGCAGCTTTCAAGAAATCAAATGATATATTCTATTTGGCACATCTGCCGCAAAAGAGCTTTTTACTGTGTTAAAAATCAAATATGTCATTTTGAGAACCTGACAAAAATAAGCCTGACCCAAGCCCTGGTATTTTCAGTCATCTCATATTCGTGTGAAAGCGGAACAATGAATAAGGAACACAGGAAAAGAACCGATGAAGTTGAATTATGGTGTTAGTGAAGAATATTGAATATACCACCAACTGCCAGAAGAATCAATAAATCTGTATTGGAAGAAGTACAGCCAAAAGGATAGCAAGCCTTCATCTTGTATAGTTTGGACATGTCATCAGGAGGGATCTAACAACAACAATAGTTCTCCAGACTTTGCACCTTTTCCAAGATGCCTTCCTGGGTATCTCCTGACCTTCTTGCCTCCCAGCTCCCACCAAGGTTGACCTCACCTGCTACTAGCTCTGATCTCATTGTCAACCTAGACTCTGTCCTCTGCCCCAGCCCAGGTCATTGCCTGGCCCCCACCAAGGTTCACCATGTCAGCATGAAACCTAAGGGTAGGGATGAATTTTGGCTGTGGATAACAAAGGCACAAAGACCAGTGTTTTAAAAAAGATAGACTTTATTTCTCTTTCATGCAAAAGTCAGGATTGACTTGCTCTTTGACTTGATCAGCAGCTTTGCCATTGTCTGAAATCCAAACTGCTTCCAGATTTCTGCTCCATCAGCCACCGAGTGGCGTTTGCCCTCATGGTCCAAAACAGTGTTCCAGCTGTCACGTCCACATTAAAATGGTGGACTAGTGGTATTGATGTGGAGAGGCAAAGAAAGACACCACCTTAAGACTCTCTGCCCATCATATTAATGTGCCATAGGGGACTTTTGCTTGCATCCAATAGCTAGGAATAAATTACCCAGCCATACCTAGATGCATTTGATGCATTTCAGTTATTGTGTTGGAGGAGAATATTGAAAGTGCCATGGGCTGCCAAAAAAACCAATAGTTCCATTTTGGAAGAAGTGCAGCCAGAGTGCTCCTTAGAGGCCAAGATAACCAAACTTTGTCTCTCATACTTGGTACATATTGTCAGGAGGGACCAGTCACTAGAGAAGGATATCATGTTTGGTAAGGTGGAGGGTCAGAGAAAAAGAGGAAGATCCCCAATGAGATGGATTGGCCAGGTGGCAGCATCGATGGACTCAAGTGTGGCAAAAGTAGGGAGGTTGGCCCAGGATTGGGCAGTGTTTTATTCTGCTGTGCATAAGGTTGCTATGAGTCAGTGCCGACTCAACGGCATTTAACAACAACAACCTAGATGCAAAGGTAGCTGGGAAATGAAGTCTTCATCCTGGGAGGCCATGTGCCCACCAAAGATGGGGAGAATGGATATTATGGTTGGTATCCAGCCTCCTCTGTCACATCTTTTGAGGCATCACCAGTTACTGGGACTGCATGGGGGGAAGTGAGCACTTGGATACCAAGTAAGGAAAGGAAAGAGAAGGGAGGGAGGGTGAGGCAGGGGGGATCCAGTATGTGGGCTAGTAAAGGGATCTGACAAAGCATGTGGTCTTGGCAAGTCAGTTTCCATATCTGGGCCTCAGTTTCTCCATCAGTAATTGGAGGTCTTATAAAGATTAAATGAGAAATTAATGTGAAATATTTTTCAAGGTACCTGGAACCTGCAGGGCCCAGTAAATGGTTTGTTGTTGTTGTGTGCCGTGGAGTCGGTTCTGACTCATAGCGACCCTGTACAGGATTTCCGAGGCTGTAAAGCTTTACGGGAGCAGAACACCTCATCTTTCTCCCGCGGAACAGCTGGTAGTTTCGAACTGCTGACCTTGCGTCTCACAGCCTGATTCGTAACCACTATGCTACCAGAGCTCCTTTAGCCACTACCATATTTATGGCTCCCGAGTACCGCCCAAGTATATCCAAGCCCTTTCCTTTCTTGCCCAGCCAAGTCTCCAATCTTATCCTTCAAGTAAGTCACTTCTCTGTCAGCCTCCATGCCTTTTCCCATGCTGTTCCCTGCACTGGAAACATCCTTATCCTTTCTCCTTCAGTCCATTACATTGATTCTTCAAGACCCGGCTATTCAGCGACCTTCAGCTACAAGTTTTCCTTGGACCTCTCTGGACTCTCTTGGTTCCTTGGCCCCTCACCACACTCCACTTGTACACCCCTGCTTGTATTTCAGTCTCTCTTCCACCCCAGCAAACAGAGCATCCATCACTTAATACGTTCTGGGTAAAAGTGAGGAAAAAAGATGCAGTGTAGGTGTGGGAAGGGAGAGGATAAGGAGGAATCCAAGCTCTCCAAATGGTACTTAGAGTCCCTGGCAACGGCCTGTAAGTGGGTTTTCCTTCTTACAGGGACAGATGGGACTTATGGATTATGGTTCTTGTTTTTTAAAAAGTGTACAGAGTTTTGTTTTGTTTTTCCTTAAAAGATTGACTGCCTCTTTGGGCTGAGGGAGAAAGGAATAGTTGCAACCCTTCACATCAAGCTCCCTGTTTAGAAAACTCTGTCTATCCCTAGAGATAGACCTTGGAGTAATTTGTGTCCCAAATAGACAAAATAATTCAAATATGAGCATTTATTGTATATTTATAATAATCCAGGCATTGTTCTAAGTGCTTTACACATACTAATCAATTTAATCCTCCCAACAAGGTAAGTGTCATTTTTATACCCCTTTACAGTTGGGAAAACTGAGGCACAAAGAGGTTAAGTAACTTGCCCAGAGTAACACAGCTAGTAAAATGGTAGAGCCAGACTACACCCAGGTGGTCTGGCTCTGGCCTCTCAAAGGGAAGCTGGGAATGGAATTTACTCTGGCCCACAATTTCCACTCCTGGGAAAGTAACCAAAAGGTCACATAGCTCCTTAGCAGACTGCTGGTACAGTTACCTGGGACTCTGTTCAGGGGCTCCCCTCCCTGCCCCACCGCTCCTACCAATGGCAATCCAAGAGTCTTGTCTCAAATTTGGAGCAAGAGGCAAGGTGAGTAAACACTGTATCGCTTGGCATGCCATTGCACTGCATAGGCAAAAGAAGCAGCGTCTGTCGTCTGATGCCCTGCCCGCATGCTTCTATCTCACTGTGGTTGAAAAGAAGCTAAGGATTTCCTGCCCAAATGGCCAGTCTCTCCAACAAAAGCACTTTCCATCATTTCTGGAGATGAAGTAGCCCTTGTTTCCCCAATTCCTCAGCCAGCTAGATGCTAGTACCCCTCTGACTTTACCATGGTGTTAAACTCCTCCAGAGTTCTTCCTTTAGTGTCCCTGATGCCCAACAGCACTGTTCTACTGGCCCTCCACCTACACACCTCGCCCCCTCTTCTAAGAAGGAAGGCTCACTTTGCCTGTTAGTTATAGGGTTTGCGTGGTGCACAAGAAAAAGGTAGGCTACCTTGTTCTGCTTAAGATCTGGGAGGACAGAATGAATAAGAGCCAGAGGAGAACTGGGGTGGAAGAACGAGGAAAAAAAGTAGGGGGGCAGTGCTCAGACAGCAGATTTGGGATGATGGTGGGAGGGTGTTGGGTGGTGTGTTTTGCTGCTTCCTTCAGGGATCTGCAGTAGAGATGTCTTTCTAGTGCAAAGCTGTGTTTTAGATGTCTTGACATATGTGACAGTCTCAAGAAAACCTTCCGGGTACCCACGAGTGGGAAATGATGAACCTGAAAGGAGAAGACAGCAGTAACTGTCATGTGCTCTGCCAGTCAAAGGACCTTCACATAGCAGCCTCTGGTGCCTACTGCTGCTGCTGGTGGGTCTGGGCCATCTCAGGCTGCCCGTTTCTCCGTGTGGAATGAAGCAGTGTTGAGGGGCTATTTCCCCCTCATTCTGGGGCCTACTGGACATATCCCAGATGCTGAGGATACTCCAACCTGAAAGAGCCACTTTGATGGAATTTGATTCTCTGATCCCAGCTCCATTTCCTGCCCTCTCCCTCAAGTCACTCCACACTCCAGGCTTATCTGAACTACACTGTTGCTTTGCAGTCATGCTCCTTTCTGACCTCTGGGTTTTGCACATATAGTGCAACCTTTTTATCAGGCTATTAATTCCTTACCAGTTCAAGCTCCACCTCTTCCAAGAAGCCCTCCTCATTTCTACCTCTGCAGCACTCCCCCAGCTGGTAGTATTTGGTCAGTCATGTCCTTTTTCGGAGGGTCACAATGGGATAGGTCTCCACTCTAGCCTTCTGCCCATTTCCCCCAGGACAGAACCAAGCACAAGGCTGGTCCAGGTTGCACAAAAGTGTTCCTCATTTCCATTTGCTGAGCTTACTCTCAGCCGCCAACATCTGGTTTAAATGGTACCTCCTGAGTGAGGTCTTGGACTGGATGCTAGGAGCATCCTTTTGGATGGCATAGAGTCAGTGTTTGTACCTTCAGGAGTTGGGAGACTGGGTGGGGCTGGTTCTTTTGGTGCTCCTGAACAAACCCAAATCCAAGCACAAGGTGTCAGTAAAGGTTTGCTGAGTGGATGGAGTATCAGACCCCATCCCTCAAAACTCAGCTTAAATGCCTCTTCCCAGACGCTCTGATCACCCCCTCCCATCTTCCATCTTCCCCTTCTTGGTGATTCCTCTGATTACAGTACATGTCACATCTTTTTGTGAGTTGTTTTACATGGTCTCCCCAACTCCCAATGGCCCATGACCTTCTCAAAGGCCAGGATGAGGCTTCGGACTATTTGAGAGAAGGGGCTCAAGAAATAGTTACTGGTGAGATTTTAGGATCTGTAGGAGACCTCACTTTATGTCCAGCTGAGCTGACCACTGATTCTTTCTCTGAGTGATTTGGGGCTGGTGAGGCTTCTGCTGCATTGAACACAATGGTAGACATGATGGTTTGGGGTTGGTGAGTCTTCTGCTGCATTGGGCACAATTGTGGACTTGAAGGTTGCCCAGGCCCTATGTGTCCTGCCTCCATAGGCTCAGTGATCCTGCCCTGCCACTTGGCTGTGAGTTTCTGCAGTAGTTCTTGTGGCCGCCGGCGGAACTTTTTCTGAGTGAAGTAGAAGAGGATGGGATCCAGCATGCTGTTGACGCTGGCAAAGGGCCTGGTGCCCTTGTAGGCGGCTGCAAAGGTCTCCAGCATGGAGCAGGGGACCCCAGGCGTTGAGCGCACTGCCAGGTAAGCAGTCTTGGTGATGTGGAAAGGCAGGAAACTGATGGCAAAGATAGCGGCCACCACCATCGCCATACGGGCTGCTTTACCACGCCGCTCCTGGGCCACGGGTCCTTCTGGGCCATCTTGGCGGCACAGGTGGCGGGCCAAGGAGTAGTAGCAAGCCAATAGGGCAGTAAAGGGCAGTAGGAAGCCGATGATTGTGAGGGCCATGCCATAGGGCATGTATCGGGTGGCCAGGGAGGGCGGGCTCAGGTCATAGCAGACAGTGCGGTTACGCTGGATGCCAGTCATGGCAAAGACAGCTGTGGGCAGGCACTGGGCAGTTACGGCCAGCCACACAGCCCCACATACTAGCCAGGCAGCTCGGCGACCTCCTCGTTTGTGCCAGATGGCCAGAGGGTGGCAGATACCCAGGTAACGCTGAAAACTGATGCAAGTGAGGAAGAGGATGCTGCCGTGCAGGTTGGCATAGAAGAGGAATCGGACCAGGCGGCAGGCGAAGTCACCGAAGGGCCAGTAGTCACCCTGGGCGTAGTTATAGATGAGCAGAGGCAGGGAGCAAGCATAGAGCAGGTCAGCCAGGGCCAGGTTCAGGGTGTACACGGCTGTGCGGGTCAGTGCCCGGCGGGACATGCAGATCTGGATAATGACACAGGCATTGAGTGGCAAGCCAGCAACCAGCACCACTGAGTATATAGGAGGCAGGAGGAGCTGCTTGAAATTCTCATGGTAGATGCAGGTGGTGGGCACGGAGCCCAGGTACTGGCCAGTGCTGTTGTCCAACTCCATGGCTACCAAATCAGGCTTCTTCTACATCTGGAGACACTGGGGAAGTAATACATAATCTGTCAGTGACTGGTCCTACTGACCACCCAATCTGACCACCTCTGGGCTTTGATCTCCATCCCCATCTGAACAGTGAGGGCATTAACTTCTTATGTCTCAGGTACCCACCACACACACAGAGACCGCACATAGCCATTATTTGAAAACAAGCTGGAAAGCAATACAAACACAAGTTTGGAAGAAATCTAATTTGCTTTCTTAAATAGGATCCATTCTTCACCAGACTTCCTGGTGAACTCCTATTCATCCTTCAAAACCCTGGTCAAATGTTTCCTATGCTGTTAGTGGAGGCTGATGGACTTGAGTTTGAATCTCAACTCTGCTGCTTACTAGCTGTGTGACCTGGAGCCTAGGTTTCCCCATCTGGAATACAGAGAAGGATGCACAACCTCTCAGGACTATCACAAGGCCTAGAAGCACTGAAAGATGCGATGCAGTGTTTCTCCCCCGAGAAGAGCCAGGTCTGAATCAGACCAGGGCTTACTTATCTGATAGAAACAGAATGTTCACATACCGTGAGCTGACTCAGGACAGCACCCATTTCCTCTATTTGGACTCTCTACGCCATGATCCTTCTTTTGGCCATTCTCCTTACCTGTGAAATGGAGAAAGATCATCCAGGGATTTCTTAAGAGCTTTCACCACTTGACTGTTGCTGTTTTGTTAAGTGCCACTGAGTCAGTTCTGACTCATAACGATGCTGTATAGAGTTTCCTAGAAGCGAGTGGGGAGGTTGAACCGCCAACCTTGTGGTTCAAACCGACCTTGCAATGCAGTGCATTAACCTGCAGCGCCACACCTCCACACTTGACTAGAGGCTACAAAGACTGGTCTGGCAAAGCCATAGAAGCAACAGCACCCTCTGGTGGTAAGAAGGTTTTCTAAAGTGAAATTGGTGAGGGAACCAACCAGTCAATCTTTTACTTTACGGACAAGGAAACTTAGGCACACTCAGAGGCAGTGATTGCTCACTATTACTCAGTGAGTTGGAGTTCTTGTGTGGTGCTGTAGGAAAAAGCCCTGGACCACAAGGTCAATTTGAACTAAAGGTCGACTGTTCAAACTCACCAGACACTCCTCAGGGTCACTGTGAGTCGGAACTGACTCGACAGCATTTAACAACAACTTAGTGAACCCAATAATGTGACTCAGAGGAGGCAGCTTGGTGTAGCCCACAAGCACAGGATATGAAAGTTATAAGCACATTTCAGAGCTACGGAGGCCTGGGTTCAAATCCTGACTCCCTCCCTTCCATGCTGTAAGGGCATACCGCATGTTTTCTCTGAGTCTGTATCCTTATTGATAAAATGTGCTCAATAAATGCCATACCATTGTATACCACAGCTTGTCCCTCATTTGTCAGGCTTGGTTGGGGGGATGGGGTAGGCAGGAGCACGAATGCCTTAAGGGGTTCTTAATGAGGAAAGGCTGACTCCTGGATGTTGTTTTGTTAGGTGCCTTCTAGTCGGTACCGACTCATAGCGACCCTATGCACAGCAGAAAGAAACACTGCCCAATCCTGGGCCAACCTCACTACTGTTACCACGCTTGAGTCCATCGATGCTGCCACTTGGCCAGTCTATCTTGTTGGGATTCTTCCTTTTTTTCTCTGACTCTCCACCTTACCAAACATGATATCCTTCTTCAGTGACTAGTCCCTCCTGACAATATGTCTGAAGTATGAGAGACGAAGTTTGGCCATCAGGTCTCCAAGGAGCACTCTGGATGCACTTCTTCCAAAACGGATCTATTGGTTCTTTTGGCAGCCCATGGCACTTTTAATATTCTCCTCCAACACCATAATACATCGTTTGATTTCTTGACTACTGCTTCCGTGAGTGTTGATAGTTGATCCAAGCAACTGACATGTTTCCTTTATCTCTCATGTCTGTCACCCACTTTTGGACCCTCAGCCCTAGAACAGCTCAGACCCCAAACTCTTCCTGTCCAGCCACTACTCTGGCCAACCTAGGGGGCTTCCTAACAGGTGAATCTGACTATGTCCTTTCCTGTATCTCTGATCTTTGGAGCAAAGCCCTCTTGATATTCAAGGCTCCTGTCAAGCCCTTCAGCCTCATCTAAAATACCCCAGTTCCATTCCTCCTCCTCATTCCTGCTCTAGTCACACTGTTCCCCAGACACCAAGATTGCTGAACAGCTGTTTGCAGGCTACAGACCAGACTTCCTCTCCTGCCTCCCCATCTGTCTTGTTCCCTTAATGCCAAGTACCACCCAACTCACCTCCATTGACCCAAACCCCAACCATCCATCAAGCCTAGAGCCAAAGTGGCTTCTTTTCTGATCCCCCAACTGGATGGAATTCCTTCCTTGAACCCCCAATTCTGTGGCTCTCCTCTACTTTACCTGTACCCACTGTTGTAGAGATGATTCCAACTCACAGTGAGCCTATAGGACTGCATAGAACTGCCCATAGGATTCCCGAATCCTTTATCTTTCTCCAGTAGAGCGGCTGGTGAGTTAGAACCACAAGCCTTTTGGTTAGCAGTCCAATGCTTAATCCATTGTGCCCTCTAGGTCCCTTAATTCTGTGGATCTCTTCTAGGCCAGCACTGGACTCAGCCTCTCTGCCCAAAGATACAGTTCCCCACCCGCCACACCAGCCCATGGCCTTGGGCACACTACCACTCACATGCAGCGTTCTGTCCCTGAGTGCGCTGGGGCAAGGGGAGGCCAGACCTGAGGCTCCCACTCCCCTGTCTTCAGTCCAGACTGGAACACCTCTGGTGGGACGGCAGCTTCCTCTGTTTCCTGGAGGGCCTGTCTCGGACTGAAATAGCCCCTGGAGGTGGCCTCCTCCCTGCCGCCCCCAGTGCCAAGGCCTGGCGGAAGGAAACTGGGCCAGGAGGAACATGGAGGTGGATAAAAAGACCTCCTTCCCGAAACCCTCTCCCACCCAACAAGGAAAGGAGGGTGAGGGCGTGGAAAGAGAGGTGGGGAAGGACCAGGGGTTGATCAAAGGCCTGTCCCGTAGACCCAGCAACTTCTTTCTCCTTAGCTCTGTCTCCGTTTTCTCATCTGCCAAATGGGCAGACTGATGATTAAATTAAGAGTCTTAGGTCTTTAGTTATAATATCCACAGAGCCACTGGGTATGCATTCATCTGCCCAGCCACTTACTCTTCCCTCCTTCTTGCATTCACCCAGTCACTCACTCACCGACATGCCTATCTGTGTGTACTGTCCCACATATACACCCATGTATCCAGGTACCTTCGTCCTCCCTTCTTTTTCTTCAAAACACCTCCTACATACCATCAAATCCTCTCACATTCCTCCATTTAGCAGCCCTGCCCCCTCTCATGTGGCAGTTCCAGAGCATGGTGTGGTAGGATGACATGTTTTGGTTGTGGGGACGGGCGTGATGCCACTGAGAAATCACCTTGTTGAGATTCTCCCTGCCAGCACCAAACCCTCCCCTGGGGTCTTCTCATTACCAACCCAGGGCTCAGAGCTGTTAGGAAGACCAGAAGAGAAAATGTGGGTCTTTACATCTGAGGAGGCCAGCTCCAGGAATCAAGGAGGGTGGCCTGGAGGAGGTGGGCTTTGATTTGGAGCAGCAGAGGCAGCTGGGGGTGGGGGCAGAAGGAAAACTGCACTGGGAGCTTGAGACCTAGATTCTGATTCTCCCTTTGCCTCTACTCACTGCATGACTCTAGATAAGCCCCTTGCCCTCTTTGAGCCTCTTCAGTAGAATGTGGTGGTATTGATCATCAGGAAGGAAGTTGTGAGGATAAACTACCACAGAGGGGTGAGGAGGCTTTCTATACTGAGATGCTGCCAAGAGTATCAGAGTGGGAGTTTCTCTTAAAACCACTCACCTCGCAAGCAAATCCATTTTACAGACAAGCGATGGAGGAACTCGGTGAGTGTCAAAAGCTTGGACCAAACTGAGAAATTTCAGGCCTGGTAAACACTCGGTCAATTGTGCACAGGCTGTCTGTGCTGGAAGGCCACGGTGCAGGCTGAGGGTGTGGGCTTCCTGGACTGATCTGAACTGTGATGGGGTCCAGGAGGGCAAGGAGGCTCAGCCTTCAGACTGGCAATGGGCTCTTTTCAGAGATCCCAGAATGACTTCCCATGCCACCCCCACCAGGGTGGGTCACTGTTTCAGGAATGAAAGCAGCTCCAAGGGCTTTCTGGGGGTATCAGCTCCCAAAAAGGGTATGGGTTGGGCACCTGAGTGGTCTCGGTGCCAGTCATCCTGGGAAACACAAGGCTACCTCCATCATGCTTCACTGAGAGAACTTAGTTCTGCAGATCTGGAGACCCCTAGTTTTACCCTTCTGTCCAAACAAGGCACCTGGTATAACCTCAGGGCCATAGGAAGTGTTCACCAGGCCCCCTTTCACAGATACAGAGAGAGACTGAGGCAAACTGCCTGCCCCCTCCCCACCAACCCTCTTGGCCCTTCCCAGGGGTTCAAGAAGATTCTGTACCTCTGGAGCTCTGGTCTGGTACCTCAATAATCCCTGCGTGCCACCCAGCCTTTTGGTTCTTTGCCTTGTCAACTGAGTCTGGACTTGAAGATTCTTAAGATTGAAACCACAGTAGGATGGGGCTTGGGATTCCAAAGAATTTCAGGATGACTGAATCACAGCAAAGGAAACACCCTGTTCTCATAAGCTCTTGGCTTTGCCCATTGACCTGGGAGAAGGGGAGTGGGACTGGGAAGGGGATCCTGGGTGGGGCGGGGGGAGTGACCTGGAAAGTTTTTTGGGGGGAGGTATGTCTATTGCAGAGCCTTAGAGGACCAGAGGATCATGGGCACATAAAGAGAGAAGAGGCAGTATACACAGAGTGAGCAAAGGCAGGAGGTGGGAAATGAGCCCAGCCTGTGTGAGAAACGAAGAACAAATATTGAAGCCAGAGCATGATATGGATTGTACAAAGAGGGGCCAGGTGGGAGGCCTGAGGGCAGTTGGCTTG